GACATCTTGTTGGCTACTGATATCATGGTGTGCTAGTAAGACTGTAAGTTCTTCACCAGCATTTCCACTTGATTCTGCCATGTTGACATGCTCACCATTTTTATATGAACATTCATTTGCATAATGTCCATACTGCTTGCAACTGTGACACTGGATATGCGCCTTTCCTCGAGTAGATCTCCACTCCTGAGACTGACCTAGATTTTGTGCATAGCCTCGACCTCTTCCTCGGGCTCGTCCTCGGTTACGGTTGGATGAACTCCCACGACGTGAGTTCCACTGCCCACGACCTTTATTTGGTTTGTCAATATTCAACTTTGACTCCAAAGCTTGCTCTAGCGTTGTGGGGCTTGCATTCTTCTGAATGCGTTGCTCGTGAACTATGAGGGATCCTAGTAGCTCCTCTGCGCTCATCGCCTCCAAATCCTTGGATTCCTCAATGGCAGTCACCACATGCTCAAACTTAGATGTGAGTGACCGGAGTATCTTCTCCACAACTCGTACTTCATCGAGTCTCTCGCCATTTCTCCTCATCTGATTTACTATCACAATGAGCCTTGAGTGATAGTCGGAGATACTCTCTCCTTTATTCATGTGAGCAGTTTCAAAATCTGCTCAAGTGACTGTAATCTTACTTTCTTGACCCGATCTACTCCTTTGTAAATTGTACTGAGTGTGTCCCATACTTGCTTGCTCGTTGTTGCTTCTGCAACCTTCTCGAACGTTGAATCTTCTAATCCTTGATAAAGAAGATACAACGCTTTCTGGTCCTTCTTTCGTAAATCCTTGAGAGTGTTCCTTTGATCTGCAGTATATGTGGCTTCTTGCTCGGTAGTGGGTACAACATACCCATTACTGACAACTTCCCATAGCTCTTGTGATCCAAACAATGCTTTGAATTGGATGCACCATCTTTCATAATTTTCTTTCTTTAATGTGGGAACTTGGAGCTGCACTAAGTTGGATGCCATAACTGCTGCACCTGCCAGAATGGTATTCTGGCTCTGATACCAATTGTTGGTATTGAAAAGTTTACTAACTCAATACCAAAATATGTGGGTGATAAGTTTACAAACTCTATCACACCTCTCACTTTCTCTCTCAATAAAATTGGACAAAAAATTGAGAAATGAGGGAAGCTACAAGCTTTGGCAAACAAGGCACTTTGATATTAAAAACAGATTGCAAATACACTTCTAGAATTGAATGACAAATCAGATGGGATTAATACTCTAAAGCCTTACGAGAGGCTTCCTTAAATACAACACAGCCTACACCTTTACACCATCAATTGACAGCACACAGACAGCAGCATATCTGCTGTCTTTAACACATGGGAACGTGAAAATGAAGAGACCAAATGTATTCCAGGTTGTCTACATTCGGCTAGCACACAGCAGTTGTCTTTCCAGCTGCAAATAACACATATTCGACTAGCACATGGCAGCACACTGCTATCTTCCTGCTAGCACATCACATGGCAGCACACTTGCTGTCTTTCATCACCATTCGGCTGAATAATGAAGGAGCAATGATGATTATATTTTGCTGGAAACAATCTGTAAAGAAAGGTTAGCATCACATGGACAGATCACATGACTTTTAATTTGAATTTCCAACAGAACAAAGCTCTAGTTCATGCAAATCCAGGAATCTTAATGTGGTCACTCAAAAAGCCAAAGGTTTTAGAGCTTTAAGCTCCGATGAAAGTCCTATTGTTGCAAGTGTCTCTAACGGTGACACCAGTGTCTCTAAAAGTGTAGTGTATGACAATGATGCTGCCCATCTTATGTTTCTTTATGATGATGAACACAATGTGAGTGCTACTCAATTCACTTGTATGCAGATGGTTCAATCTGGTTATATGTCTCTGATACCTTGTTGCCACTGTTTTAGTTATATTATTTACTAAATTGTGGTCTTCTTTGTTAATTGCAGCAATAAATTACATTCAAGATTGACAGAGACCTAATATATTTGGATTATGGCACATGTTCTGATATGTTAAGTATTGAGTCTGTCAAGACTGAACCGGCATGCTTATACTACGTATGGCTTCCTATCGAAAGAAGATCAGAGGGTAGGCATTAGTTGAGTTTAGCATGTTTCTAGTTGCTAGTATTTATGTCATCAAAATGTTGGCCTATAAGATGATTCACTGAACTGCAGCGGATATGTCATTTCATACAGAGATTTTTATTTTATTTGTATTCATCTTTAAAAAAAAGAAAGAAAGCATTTGAATGGTTCTTTAAACATTTTCACTATCCAAAACTAGGTAGTTGTGTTTGAAATAACTTTGCAGTATGGTAATATATATTGTGGCACATACCGAGGTGTTGTTGCTGAAATAATCATACTAAAGGTGATGATTTTCACAATTAAAGAGTAGGACTCTTTGTCTCAGTGACGCATTACAAATTCTGGCCAAGTAGCTTAGACATGGTTAAGCTTGCCTGCATATGGAACTTTTTATGCGCTCCTTTAGTTCATTTCATGTATCTAATACAATGCTTAATTAAATTCTAAAACTTCTCGAGGTTTTATCCGTATAGTTTGGCACCATTGTGTTTTACTGCTCTCTCTCTCTCTCTCTCTCTCTCTCTCTCTCTCTCTCTCTCTCATGTTAATATCCTGTTTTCTTCAAAACTTCTTGTTTTTTGTTGAAATTCATGATTTTAGATTTAAAGTTGTATATTTTTTGTTGCAATAACATAAAAGATTCTAAAAGGAAATGTATTGTAGTCCAACTTCTTTCCATTATGTTAATAGCCAATCCAATTTTACCTGTTACCGACACAAGATGGGTTCAAAAGAGGTTGATAAAACTATACACTGATTGCTGCTATAAGTCATCTGTGACACGCAATATGAAGCTGCTTAAGAAACTCTATGAGCAGGAGGTAAGGCTAGAGGAAAATCGAGTGAGGACATCCTTGTTCTGTATTCCACAATCTATTGCGGGATGATAAACACATATTTTTGTCTTTCAGGTTTCAGATGATGTTGCTAATGTGTCCGATTGCGGACTGCAAGACTTTTCATTAATGCCATTGTTGGATGCCCTGCATGCCAATAAAACATTTGCAATGGTAGACCTTTCTCACAATGAGTTAGGTTACTAATAGCATGTGATTTCTAGCCTACGCTTATTTAGATTCAAAAGTGTTGCTTCTGGACTAGAAAGTATTTAGCAGCCTTTCTGTTAAACATTCTTCACCTAGACTCAGGCCTTCTTTCATTTACTAAAACATTTTCCCAGGAATTGTGGGCAGTATTAACTGTTTATTGGCCTCATTGTTTCCCAGGAAATGGTACAATGAACAAACTGCAACAAGTAATCACTTCATCATGCCAAAAATATGCTGGAATTGACGTTGGATCTCCGCTTCAACTGATTTGGTGCAACTTCTTTGGTTCAGGTATCTAACTAACATTGCAAAAAATTTCATGTTAAAGCTTAAGCTGACTTCTTTGAATGATTCATATACATGTTTTCCCATGTATTAAGTTTATGCAAGAAAGACTGTAAGCAAGGGTGAACTTTGACTCTCTCCGCCTTTTATTTGTTGCCAGATGGCTTTATACAATTATACACAGATTTACAAATGAATGGGAGTGTACCTTAAGAGCTACAGTAATTACTAACGGCTCCTATATGGAAACAAACTCAACAAAACCCAAAGACTGGGATTGGTTACATGACTGTTTCACAAACACCTTTGGGCACTCAAGAGTCAAAATGAACTTTCTTTCATATAAGCCTCTAATATAAATCCTCGCTCACAAATAAATTTCAATCAATTCATTTGGAATTTTTTTCTTTTTATCTCGGTTGTGAACTCCCTGAGAACCATTAGGACACATGGTATTACATGGGACTATTGAACTTTTCAGATGAATAAAATAATTCTTAAATATTTGAAAATCATAGCAAGATATCATAAACCATGTAAATTGTGATGACGATGATAGTAAATAATTGCAGCAGTTTATAAAAGTGAAGGGAAACTTGAATTGAACTAAAATGTGCATTGTGACCAATTACTATCCTTAAGGTTCTTAATGACAATTACTTAATGCGAAAATTAAAGGGCCTAGAAACACAGTGTTTAACTCAAGCCCTCTAGCATTGACTCTGTTAAGTCTGAGAAACAAGCTGGTTCTGGTTTGGAAAACTACTAATCATGAACATTTCAAATAAGGATGATTCTAGAGAATAATACTAGGAAAACTGTTGTATTGCTGTCTATTTAAACACCTATGTACTCTCTTGATGAACTATGAAAAGATGATATTCCTCTTATTTCCTGGAATTTATTTTTAATATGTTGATCCTAAGTATACCCTCCACACAGACCACACCCTACAACAAAACCTACAACTTCGTCATGTGGAAATGCATTTTGAATTTTCTGTTATGGCAAGTTGTCAATCAAAATTATTAGACTGCCAATCAAAATTATTAGACTGCAATAATAAATGAAACAGAGCATTAAAAGCAATGTGAGCTAATTACTGACAGGTGTTTATGATATCAAAAGTTTGCATTACACAATTTCCTATGCATGCAACCAAGAGGGTTTTGTGCTCAGCATGGTGATTAGAAAGCTTCTTCGTTAACTTCCAATTCCAAAAAGAATGACGTCCATGAAATAACCGCTATCTACATAATCATCCCAGAGACCTCCCTAACAGCATATAATACCAACAAGATTTGTCACCACCACGTCCTTCCAACCAAAGAAAAAAGCAGGATGTAAATGAGTTTTTACAGTTGTAGAGAAATATAACTAATTGTGCAAACCACATGGCCCAAAAAAACACCCAACAAAGCAAATCTATCCAGCGAATTGGAATTGGAAATAAATTTGATGAAAAAACACCCTTGAAGACCATATCCCAACCCAATTGGTCTACTGAAAGAGAATTTAGGAATGCGGAAGAAAATATATACATACATATATATATATATATATATGCTTGATGGAGCAAAACTA